CAAGCTACAGCTCCCTCCCCGCTCCCTCACAATAAAAGGGGTACCACAATTAGATACATACACACTGCCATACAACAAAATTTTTTTTTTTGGGTATTTATTAGTACAATTTTTTATTCTTATTACAGACTTTGTCGGGCAGCCATGGACGACCACCTCGAAGGTGCAATCTCAGGGGGGCAATGCCCTGCACATAACCTAAATGCCCGCGACGATGTTACTAGACGAAGACACCGCCCCCCCGTCCAAAACCATGACACCTCCTTCAGGGAGTGTCCCGGGACCTTCTGTCTTTTGTTATGTGTGTGTGTACAAATATTCTAGACGTGACAACAAAAATCAGACGACAGTCTAAGTGCAAGTACAAATGGGTTACGTCGACGTTGGTCAGTGAATATATAGTCTTATTTATCACTGGGTTAATTAATAAGACATACAAAATTCACAGGTGCTAAAGTATAGCCAGTCTTACTCTCGTGAGGAACACGCAGTCAGTTAGGAGTTGTCAGTGCGGATTTCCAGTAATTTCTTTCAAAGGAGTGACTAACACGACAATACCATTTACAAGCAACAAACACAAAGTATATGACCACAGACGCTAGCATAGGTAAGATGAGAGACATGTTTCCCAACACAACCTCTGTTTTGTTACTTTCTACACTTCTTCCTGTACAACGTCTCTAAACTGTAGAAAAAGTCGAATAAGTATATAATTACTTTGGAAATTTTGAAGACTGACAAACTTTTATGTAAATTACTCTATAGTTCTAAATATTGAGACCCAAGTTGGATAAAAAAGAAAGGGTTGAATCTTGTTTCGTTTATTCTATAGTACTGAGTAGGCGTATGTGTTTTTGTTGGAGTGTGAATGGGATTGATTTGGGCTGAAGGATGGAATGTGTGCAATTTCGGTTCAGGTAAGGACAGGTTGTTCAGGGAAGTTCTCTATTCCTCCCAGACATTGACAAAGATTGTTCTATTTTCCCCCGGTTTTTCCTTTGGGTGTGTTTACGTGTTTGTGGGTGGTCTAAATAACTTTGTAAGAAACGCCACAACAAACTCACTATAATGGTAACTTATTGTTAAGTGCCAAGTGATGACCCTTAATGAGTGACGATTGTAACAAACAGACTGCGTCTAGTGCATGATTCAAACAAGAGATTATATGACATTGAAACCATCCTGCAAGAAGAAATAAAAAGGACGAACGTTGAATAAATGTCGTCGTGGTACTTTTATAACTAACCGTCTGTCTGGTTGTTGAACACTCAAGTATCGTCCCCTAGGAACACTTCCGAACGAAAACCATCTCTGTTAACAGTTTCTGAACACTCAATGACATGCATATTAGTTACAGTTTACATAGGAAATTTAGTTATTTTCAACTTACTTCTTTTTCAGTGAGACGCGTGACGTGCGTCTGGTGCGTCTGTGTGCGTCTGTGTGGTCTGTGTGCGTCATGTGTGTGTGTGTTGTGTGTCGTGGTGTGTGCTACGTTTTCTACATAGGACTCGCTCTCCCCCCAGAAATCCAACGACCCTGACACACGGACCCCAATCTCCACCCCTACCAAAAAGGTACTTCTGCCACTTTTGGTTACTTTACTTCGGAAACTCAGTTGTGTGAGCGTGCGTCTGCGTGGTGCGGGCGTGCGTGCGTGCGTTGAGTGCGTGAGTGTGTGTGTGTGTGTGTGGTGTGGGTGGTGTGTTGGTGTTGTGTGGTGTGTGTGGTGTTGTGTGTGTTGTTGTGTGGTGTGTGTGTGTGTGTGTGTGTGTGTTGTTGTGTGTGTAGTGTGTGTGGTGTCTATCTATCTATCACTTCACACACAACATGGACCCAAACCACCTCCGCCGCAAGGAGGACCGGAGGGCACTGTAATCTCCACAGCATAAGAAGGGCAGCTTTCAACCGTTAGCTTTTAAGATTTCGGTGACTTCCTTGAGTTCAACAGGACTTTGAACAGGAAATTGGTTTGGCGAGGTGACCCTACTACGACTCCCCCTTTGTCTCTCTATCTCTCCCTACTCAAAAGAATTCAAACCGATACTTTAAAGTCAGTGTTTTATTCGCTTTTGGGAAACAGGGATCAAAAGTTACAGGCTCCGATTCAGAAATATACAGAGCAAAACAGTCTGGTTTTGGTCTTCGATATTTAGAATTAAATCGTTTAAAGACGGTACTTTCATCACCAACATCATTATAAAAGACAGATACTTGATTTGGATAATTCAAACAACTATTTAACGATTTTCGAGATTACCCCAGATATTTTTACCCCCCCCCCCCCCCCACCCCCCCCAAGATTTTGTCGTCTATTCTGTTGGGGACCTTAGTCTATATTTCTTTTACGATGACGTTATTTTCGTCAAAACGCTAGTTCCCGTATGATATACTTAAGTTTATTGTTGTTGTAATGTTATAGGTAAATATTGTTTTAGACCCCTATTGTACTATGACCGGGGTGTTGTCTTCCGATAGTAAATTCCCGGATAGTACGTTTTATCGTGAACACTACAGAAAATATTGTATTTACACATGGGCCACACAGCCCTTGATGCGTCGGCAGCTTTTATTTTGAGGGGCATGGTTTAGAGATTTTTGCCCCATTGTTGCCTGACAGGTCTAACGCAGGCTTACTTCAATTATAGCTTCTACACTGGGTGCCGGGTAGTCTTTCTAACGATAGTCTTTGTTACGGGGCTGACCAAAACCTACATTATCTCTTTGGTGTCAGGATTTTGGGCCTCATGCAGGAAGGCCAAGGAAGCAGTTTTTTCGTACGTTTAAAAGGCATCCTTAACCTTTTTATCGACCTTTTATTCCAGACACCAACTTTGTGTAACTCTCTGCCTAGTAGCAAAACCCCCAGTTCGGCCTATTAGAGGTGTACAAGATGGGACCTCACAGATTGAAATGAAACAGGAGTATATACAATACAATCAAGTAAAGAATGTGAAACAATAATAAAAAAAAATGAATATGAAAGAATAACTTGTTTCTATATTTAGAGATAATTATTATTATTATTATTATAAGCAGCATTATTATTATTTTGTTTTCAGTGTTTGATAGCGATATTCATCCATTTTGTTCAGAAATGTCTTCTATAAATAGAAGCAGTAGTTACCCATCAGTGCAGGTTTATAATTAAATTGCATGATTGATGGTACCTAATTATGTTTATGAAGTTTCTCTGAAAGCCCTGTTTCACATTGAGAGCACCCAAACCCCTCCTCTCTCTGCACACAGCTGCAGGACCTGAAGCTGACTATAGACGGACTGGCGAAGGAGAGAGACTTCTACTTCGGAAAGCTGAGAGACATTGAGGTCCTCTGCCAGGACAGCGAAAGTGAAAACCCAATCTTCAACAAAATCATGGATGTGCTTTACAGTACAGAGGTAAATACATTCAAATCACAGGACACAAGATTTAGCACGTTAATAATATTTGCTTACATGCCAAATTAATAATACTTTTTAAGCTGAACGATGGAAGGGAGATGGCTCTCAGTTTTCTATTAATATTGTTTGGCTCAGTGCTTCTCAAACCTTTTTCAGTAATGTACCCCCTTTGAAACCTTTTCTTAGCCAAGTACCCCCTGACCGACCCCGGACATTTTTGACAGAAAAAGCCTATATAAATAATTACAATAATTAACAAACCAATGAACAAAATTATATACTGTATTATGAAAAACTATAAATACAATACACAAATGTAACATGTTTATATGAGGACCCCCTTAGTGGTTCTAGGAATATTTTATATAAAATGGTGTTTTCTATTTAACTTATTGTACTAAGATTATTTTTGTAATCATGCATGGTATTTTTTTAATCAACCTTTTAATTTATTTTTATCTCACGTACCCCCATGCAGTACCCCCAACATACCCCTAGGGGTCCGCGTACCCCCATTTGAAATCACTGGTTTAGTAGATGCAACAATACAGAAGAGAAATGACCTTAGAGTTTCTTGTGAGAATGTCTTAGGAAGACTTAAAGTTCCTGGACGGTCATGAGTTAGTTAAGGTGTACAGAATGATGCATTAATAGTTTAGCAAGTAGCGAGTAAACCCCTGAATCTGCTTTCTTTGAAACCTGTTTTCCCATTTACATGAGTTTTTAAAATATCAGGGTGCTGCAGAAAGCCAACTGCAGTATCTTTAAGCTGACTCAGAGGTCTGATGGAAACCAAATTAAAGCTTCACGTCAAGGTGAAAAACAAAGGTAGCCACAAGGATCTGATCTTGCAGAACGAGCAAGGACATCCGCAGTAACACCAACCAGTAGAGATTTACACCTCGGCATATTAGGCACATTGTAGATAAAAAAATAAATAACCTTCGGAGCCGGGGGGAGGGGGTATAATGTAAGAAAAAATCATTTGAGTATTGTTGTAAATTTACAAAAGAATTTGGTACATTCTCTGTGACTATTCACTTCCATTTTCTAGTAAATTCACAAGGTCATTCTTTTTTTTTTCTCTGATTATAATCCACCCTCCCCCGGCTCTGGTGAACCATGTTTTGTTTCTCATCCTGACGTACACTGACCTCAGCCTGCTTCCACAGGAGGGCTTTGCACCACCAGAGGATGAAGACGTCGACGACGGGGCACAAGGAGACGAGGAAGAGTTCTGATCTCTTCGTCATCCTCCACCCTTTTATCGTCCTCCTGTTTTTACCCCTTTTATTATTTCCTTTTTACAACTTCCCCTTCCTTCCCCCATCTTTTCCGCGGCTGTCCATATCCATGTTGACTTTTGCTTTAAAGTAGCTGGACTCAACATGACTTTATTCTCACAGAGGAGACAGCTGCACTGCAGGGCTGGGTTAGCCTGCAAGAGAAAAGGTTAATAGCAATGAGATTACAGGAATCCAGCACTCACAGGTCACTTTCTCTCACCATGCACTTTCATCGGTGGCCACAGACGAGCATCAGGGTCCTCTGCAGAGTTTACATGAAACCACAGCGATTTCCACACAATGTGACCAGTTTAAACATATTTGGGCTATAAACTTCACTAGGAGACATTATTAATCGATTTAAGACACTTTAAGAAAGAGGCATGCACATATATTTTTAAGATTTTTCTTATGATGACATGTGAACATACATTAACCCCCTTTCTCCCCCCCCCGGACATATCACCGACTTTGAACTGCTCATAATGCAGAAAGAAGTCATCACTCCCGAATTCATTCATACGGTTTGCTTATGATTGTATTGACGATTTGTTTATGAGACAGTATGTTGTATTAATTATTTATTTATGGTTTTTCTTTGAATATGCTACGGTTTCTGGATTTGGGGATATTGAAGATATTGCACTAAATGTAGCAAAACAAATTGACTAAAATGCCAACATGCAGTGAAGATACAGAAAGATGCAATTTTATATATTTTGTAGATTTATTTTAAAGAGGTTTGTTTTTTTCGATTTGCATTGAAATGTGAAATGGCCAAGTTAGAGGCGTCAGCGTAAATTACAAGACAAATGCCAGGCTTTGAATTCTTTGAGTGCATAACATGTACAGACAGACACTAATAAGTACTAATGTTTGGCTGTGTTGAATGAGTTAATCATTTGAGCTGCTATCATCTTTATTTTGCCGTATTTAATTGAGTTATTTTGCAAAGCGTTCAACCGCCACCACAGGGGCAGCCAAGGAACTATTGGTTTGGTTTATTGTGATCGACAGTGGTTAAACCTGTCTGAGAGAAAATACTTCAAAGTGTATCTCATGGCAGCTTGTGATAAACTTGCATCGTTTGCAGTCACTGCTGCAATAAAATAAAGCTCTTGTGTTCAAGAAAAGAAACAAACCTTATTGTTGTGTTTGCTTTCTGACATGTTACTGCTGTATTCCTCCTTAATCAGGAGCAGTTTTGTATCACCGTGCCAATAACATCACAAACACACACTTATAGCAGGGCCTGGCTATGTGAGTATATGAAAATATGATTTTTTGATCAAATACTTGGATATTGCTATAATATTGTAGGGTTTCTAATTTCAAAACAGACTTACACTATGAGATAAAACAATTATAATAATCATCAGTAATGTAAATATAATGACTAAGTGGGTAAAGAGACATAATACACCATTTAAAAACTTGGAAAAGACAACAATTATGCCATATCTTGATATTCCGATATTCAGAATCGAAGAAAATATCTTGTCTCATATCCCAAAATATATCAAATGTATATATTGTCCAACCCTTGCAGTGTAACAACCGGATGTTAAGTCTAGAGAGAAATTATTTGTACTTGAAACCTGTTTTGGGACCAAGAGAGAGATGTATTGTCAAGTAAACAAAAGTGCATAAGATAAATATTGAGACAGTGAGATGTCCATTGTGGTCATTGGTTAAGCTTCAACTCATAGAGGAGGTTTTGAAAGAGATCCAGGATGTTCGCGCCAAACACTGAGAAACTGCAGCCAAAATCCACGTCTGCTCCCCAGATCCCAGCCATCCTTTATGGTTTAAATGGACGTGGCACTGGTTAGAGATGGAGCCAACAACAGAGAGCACACAAGGACGACATGAATACATTTCTAGTTATTCATTAAAGAAAATTGGTAATAAATCGACAAATCATCAATAATTTCAGCTAAAGGTCGGGCTGGAAGAAGCTCTTCTGTAGCATATGATTTGTATAAACACAATTGCTATTGTTTGTATCTTGCTTGACTTAAAGAACTTATACACTTGAACATAATTCACAATATGCGCAGACCCAAGTGGAGAGCTATGCAGCTTTTAAAAGAGGTAGTGTTGAGCAGAAATGTGCAAAATAGAGGATTGTGCAGGGTTCACAGTATAAACAAGGTTTGCTTGCATGATGTGTCAATATAAGGGTTTGTTAGGACTCTGTTCGGATCCCACACCTTGATGAGAACAGTAAATAAATCAAAACAAATCAAAGTTTATTTATATAGCCCAATATACAGTAAAAAAACACCTTTGTCTCAGTGGGCTTTATATATTAAAGGAATGAAAGTGCTAATAGATTAATACAATTACAAGACAGACAGAGAGTAAAATATCTAAAATACAAGAAAAAAAAATTCGAAACAATACAATAAAAGGTCTTAAAATGTAGGACTCAGGATGCCAACATCGGGTAATCTTACAATACAATTAATTATTTATGCTTTGTGGTTATGTGTGTATTCGTTTTGTGGGGAGGTAAAATGTTCTTAAATCATCATGTGTGAGATGAGAACCCTTCAATGAAATGTCCATTTTTTTTCGATATAAACGCAGACGTGTTTGAATCTGAAGGTAACGGTTTGAACCGGTTTTTGAACGCATCACTCTGACGTCACGCCGACCAAAGAGACGTGGCAGGCGGAAGGTTAAATTATCCGAGCTGTTTGAGTCGTCCTGTTTCATTCAGCAGGAGGAAGGAGTCACATAACTTTAGAAAAACGACCCAGTATCAGGACTAAAAACATGGCTTCGAACAATGGCTCAGCTGGTAAATGGGAGGTGGTGAAGAAAGGGAAGAAAAATACAAGCGCAACCGGAGGAGGAGGGAAGAACCCGAGCGACAAGAAATCCGGAGCCGGTGGACGGAAAGCCCTGGGAGAATCTAACATCCTGGCATCCAGACGTAAGTGGCCCCAATAGCTGACCCATTTACCCCACAGAAGTAGTTCAAATAAGACAAAATGTGATACTAATGGAGCTCAATAATCTCTTTCATGTCCGTGACTTAAAGGTTATGATAGTCATGGAAACGGGGTCTTAACGGGTATGATATTCATTGAAACGGTCTCTTAACGGTCACGATAATCATGGAAACGACGTCTTAACGGTTATGATATTAGTAGAAACGGTCTCTTATCGGATATGATAGTCATAGAAACGGTGTCTTAACGGTTGTGATAGTCATGGAAGCGGTGGAGAATGAAAGGGATTCTCATAGCTGTCAACTGATTCGACCTGCTAGCTTTAGCATTAGCATCACGCAGTAAAGCTACTTCCTGCGTGCACAATTTTGTGTTTTCTAATTCTACCATTTAATGTGAGTGGCTGTATTTATAACTTCTCTGTTGACATAATCATTTTAAAAATAAAAGCTTACTGGCCTTTCTGGGCAATGTCGTTCTTTCACATAGAGCTAGAAGGGATAAAAAAGTGTTGCAGTTAGCTTGCTAGCAGTGTGTCAACGGGAGCAACGTCATCACTGAGGAGCTGCTTGTGGGACCTTTTGGTCTTTTTGCTGCTGTTACATTTTTGTAAAAGGTGCTGTTGTTGCGACGTAATTCAACAGTGTAATGTCAGGCTAATGACTTGGGCATCCCCTTTTTTCCACTTAGCCTTAAGGAACAGCTGTCAGTGCTGAATCATTAATGTATTTTAGGATTTTTCAGGATACCCATTAGCTGATGCAAAACTACAGCTGCTTTTCCTTGGGGTTCACTCAAAAATAACTACATGATAAGACAGTTTATTTGGTTTTTCAGACAAACAACAAAACATATTCTAATAATAATCTGTGATTTTAATAAAATACATGTGTGGTGTTGTAATAAAGATATACATGACAGCCTGATAAGAGAAATCAGAGGGTTTTTTACTTTATTATTACATACTTTCGGAATTATAGGCTTGAATACACTTGGCTAAAGCATCAAATCCCTTGTATCCCCCTTTTTAAAGGATAAGGATGGCAATATTCAGGTTTTTTTTTTTAAAGAAAATATTTGATTAATCATGATAACATGTAACTTGTGTAAACACAGCCTGATATAATCAATTTCTTATTTATCATTACAAGTTTACCTGTTAATCAAAATGAAACACTTGCCACAGTTCTGTGACAGGTATCAAGACTGGATTAACAATTTGGTAAATTGGGGAACTGACCCTCAGTCCCAGAGATCCAGGGGCCCCAAAAGCCCAGCCTTACTGTATGTAAATCAGTTTGAGACCACCACAAACAAAGCACAACATCAGCTGATGGTCGGCATGATGATCAGTTGAAAGAGGAGTCATGGGTGATTACCTGAAGCCCTTTCTTGAGTGGAGCATATGTTAGAATCCATTCTGTGCTTAAAACATTGCAAATCTGTAAATGAATGTGTATTATCAAATGAGCACACAGTTCACCTGGAGCCAGGAGAGACATGTTCAGAGAGTGGGAAGGAATGTGGTGGTTGAAAAGAGCTAATCAACTTATTTCTACACTTATAGAGAAGTGAAGTCCCTCCCTTTCCGGGGGACCTCCATGGGACCTTATTTCGGGAAAAGTATGATTTGACGTCAATGGAGAGAGAAAGATTATCTTTTGATCCCGTTTGAATTGTGCCACGAATTACACATATGATGTTTGTCAATTTAAAAGATAAAAGATAATTTTGCAAGTCAAAAAAATAAAACTGTGAAGTAACACTTTTTTTGTGAAACCGCTCAATGAACTACATCTCCCTTCTCGCAACACACACCAAGACGGCCGTCACGTTGGCACATTTCACCTCTTTCTTTCAGAATGAGGTGAAAAGTATTAAAAGAGGTGAAAATCACTCCAAGTCTGGGCATGTTGAGAGCTGTACATACACACAAGGGGAGTTAGTCGGTTCCGTAAGAGCCAGCATGCGGGACCGGGACTCTGGGATTTGTAGTCTTTCTAGTTGCGTATTTTTCATAGTCTTATATTTCAACAGTTTTATGACAAATGACTTTTTTTACATGGAAATGATTTTTTAAGATTGACAAACATCAAATGTGTAATTCGTGGCACAATTCAAACGGGATCGAAAGATAACCTTTCTCTCCCCATTGACTTCAATACATAATTTTTCCGAAATAAGGTCCCATGGGTCGGAAGTAGATGGGCGGGACTTCGCCTCTCTAGAACTACACTGTAGCTATGTACGAATGACAGTAAAAGCCTTCACTGTGACACTTTACTGTGTGATGATTCAGTATGGCCTAATTCAAATGACAAACCTTTGATGGATTGATAGTTTTTTATTCATTACATTCAGTAAACCTGGCAAAAACTGTCTGTATTTACCACACTCTCTCTTTGCAGCACATTTTAATCTTTCTTTTCCACCGCTATTTGTTTACGCACCAGTTTTATCAGAGAAACAGCCGGTCCAAAGTCTTTCTAATCACAGTGACCGTGACCGGGTCAGTTTCAAGGTGATTTTAAGGTTTTATTTCAAACAAATACATTTCTCTTTTTGGCAAATGCTTTTAAATTCTTCAAGGACTATAGTTCTTATCGTGAACTATCTTAACATTTCTAGTATTGACTTAGTGTAATCAAGCTAATACTTTTATCTAAAACTAACCATGAGCTTTACCAGAAAGAAATAGATAAATACTGAAATATTAGTTATTTAGATTCATTCACTTAAATGCCTACAACACTTACATGGGTAATATAGAGAAAGTAAAATATTCATAATATCTCTGACCAAATACCTAAATATTGCAACGGTTAACAAATATGAAATAAAAGTGGGATAACGTAACCAAGACTAGGAACATCACTCAGATAAGGCAGTCTAGGAACCTTGATTATTTACTCTTATCTTCCCTCTTAATATTCTTTGTCTTTCTAAACCTGCCGGATTTTGCATGAATTATTGCAATGCATCATATAAACAACTTCCCCTTGAGAAGGTCATATTTGCGACAGGCAATTTGAAACTTAGATTGAACTTGTCACATGTCCAGACAAGTTCTAGGATGTCTGACCACAGCTCTAGTTTCAACAGAAGAGATTAAGTGCAGTCCAACACGTAGGTTTACAAGCCACATACTTTGAGGGGACCCTAACTCGAGGAGATGACAAAAACAGACGTCATTCAAACCGTTATTGTTGGTTTATTAAATATATGTTTAGTTCAATTCATTTTATGCATAACAGTTACATCGAAGCATTTGTTGGCATGAAAGTCTCACCAACATGTGCCCAAGATATTGAAGTGACTGTTATTTGGTATATATTGATTGTTGTGTTATCTTAATGTGTGCATATGTATAAATGTGTGACAGTGTGACAGTGGTACCAGTGTTGATTGTGTATATATAAGATATATATCTTTTTATAAATATTTTAATGAATTTTTGTATTCGGGATTGTGGGAAAGGGTATTTCAATCTCTCTGTCTGTACACACAAACTGAAAGATTGACAATAAAGTTGACTTTGAACACCTAATTAAATATGCAATCTGCAAGTAAAAACTAGCGACACAAGCCTTGCTGTTGTTGAGAAATATCTGAAAGGGGTTTGCTCTGTGTCTATATGTGAAGAATCCTGTCAGCTATTCTTCTGCTGGTGTGAAAATCCATTCCCAGTCCACCCACCCTGTGAGAGGGCCATGTTGGGTGCATCTACTCAGATTACACCCCAGCAGACCCCCAAGACCCTCTGCTTACAGACACCAAAGCTGCCACCAAAATCCGCCCCTCGTTCACTCGGTTCACTCGAGTGCTCGTCAAATATCCTAATCGTTTTTTTTAAGGTTGCCTGAGGGAGGGGAGGGGGGGTGAATTTAGTACAGTGATTGTGTCTGTCCCTCTTTGATGATGACTCAATGTAGACATGACCATGCTTGAAGAAGTGGAAACCTTCTCTGATTCATGGTTCATAGACGCTTTCATGGAAATGGTCATTGATTTGATGAATATATTTTCAACACCAAAACATTGTTAAACACTGTTCTTGTTTAGTCTGGCTTAAAACCATTAATATAGAACAAAGCTGTCGAGTACTTTCAAAGGATCTCAAAACAACTTATTTTTTCACCCACTTTATTTGCTAGATTTTACATTTTTTAAGTACAGGAAAACATTTGTTCTTTTTCCAAAATCAAGTAAAGAACGATAATAAGGTGTCGCCCACATTTTTTTTTATAGAGGTGTGTGTGGTTTTGCATGTGACTGGTTTTGAGTAAGAAATTCTATAGCAAACAACCAATTTCACAGTTTCAACACACTGCTAAAATGATCATTTTTGAACGAACATTATATATTTTTTCCTTTTTTAAATACATAATATCACATAGTGTACATCTCATCAAGTACCGCTTCCAATTGAGGGAAATCAGTCAGTTGGCTAAAAGATCTTTATCAGCAATGCAAGTTGACTGTGTCCTTCCAATTAAGATGATTGTACTCACAGTAGAGTGGCCTCAAGTATCTTTTATAGGGCATAATCTCAAGGTTACTACTAAATGAATTCGTTTGAAAGGAGATAATTATAGTCCTGGTCCTGGAATTGACTTGTAATTTAACTTGGGTCCGAGCACATATTTAACCATTTCCCAGTCTTCACTAGAGTGGCCTCATGTGTTCCCTTGGTTACTGTATAAAGCAGGTCCTCATGTCAGGAGCTGCTGCTGCTGCTGCTGGAAAGGATAGACTTCCTGACACGCGTATGGATATTAGTTTTTAGTATTAATAGACGTGAACACCTTGGTCAGCTTACATCATTACTCAGTCTTTCAGTACTTCCCTCACTGTTAAACTCTGGTAATGCATACTAAGCCGGGCAATCCAGACCTAACAACTGGTTTCAGTGTTCAGGGAAGTGAAAAGTGATCCTGCCTCAACATTTGAATAGGGAACTGAATCCAGGGTGTGATGAAATGGCCCTGTGTACCGACGCTGACCAGATATAGATTTAGGTTTGTCAGCAGCCTGTACAGCTGAATGATCCGTGAACAACTGGTGAGCTCTGCCAACACAGACTGAAGTGTGTGGGTAGGTCTGACTGGGACTCCTGTGTGCAGCCACGTGGCCTTAAATACTGTACATGTCATTGCTGCATGAGTTACTGTAGCATTGTTATGGAGCTTCATCTGGAAGTTCTGCAGAAGATTTGTATACTCGACCCAAGATTGTGTTTGCTTAGTAGTCTAATATAGGCTTAAAATATTTGGTCTTTGCCAACTTATTAGACGGGTATATTGGTGTTGGTCAATCTCTCATATGTGCTTAGTTCAAGTGGAAGTTGTTTACAAATCGGGTCCTAATGAGTCACACACAGGGGAATACTTGAAGTGCTGCTGGTGCTTAACTCTATTCCTTCGTGGATTGTAATAAGTGTTGCATGAATTTCGTCCTGGATAATAACAGCGTATTATGCAAGTCATAGAGGGAGGGAGGACGCACTGAATGTGAGGGGAGGGAGCCACAGGCAGGGGACGACCATGGTTTCAAGGATTAACTTCATTATCAGGACACGAGTCGCGTATGAAAAAACTGTTGGAGACCATAGAAAATTATTTTGCTGCATTTAAAAAAAGAAACACATCGAAGTAAAGAAGCACATATCTTAGTTTCCCTTGTTTCTTTTCAGCTCCCCTGAAGATGTCTGAGACCATTTATGACAGTTTTGAGAAGATGGCAAAGAAACAGAACAAGGAGCAGGTTCCACCACCGGCCGAGACGGAAAATAAGAAACCCTCCTCGAGTAAACCACCCAGGAAACCCCAGCCCAGCAGCCCAGTCAGCCACGCAACTCGCAAGACCCTCGAGGAATCTTTCAAAACCGTGAGTAACGCGCACACACCTCATCCTGACAGCCTTTGAGACATTGAAATGTAGCTTGTATAAAAACTTAAAAGCTGAAAATGTGTATTTCTTGCAGTTAAATAGAAGCAATTATTAAACTACTTTTAAAGATTCTGCTAAATATTCCCTGGTGAATGGTGCCTCATTAACACCTGGTACCCTCCCCATCTCAAAGGTCCAACTCTCTAATGATAATGTGCTAACGATGTTACAGCGGATAGACGCCCGTAGAGTTTTGCAGATGAGTTAGGGCTGCTCAATTAATCGTATTTTAATGGCAATCACGATTATGGCTTGCAACGATTACAAAAACAACATAATCGAAATAAAACGATAATTTTTGTATTATTATTACTTTTTTTTTTTTTTTTTTTTCAGTTGAATTATACTTAAGGTTCAGGGTAATCAACTGTTCAAAAAAATATTCTCCAAAAAATTGTAAATGGATAATCGTTTTTAATAATCGTGATATCAATTATTGACCCAAATAATCGAGATTATGATTTTTGCCACAATCGAGCAGCCCTAAGATGAGTGCGATGATGCTGTGTTGCAGTAGGGACGGGGAATCTAACCATTAGTTTATCTGTTGCCATGTACGGGAGCTTTAGTCATGTGTTTCCATGAACCAACTGTCTTTCCAGATTTCCATAAAACAAAGATATGAAGGGAAGCATGACCATGCCGTAATTCACTGCTGTCGTGACCCCTCTTATAAATGATACCACGCTAACTATTTCACTGTAACTGCTTGTGGCTTTTAGCACACATCTTTATGTAACTGTTTTTGCAATAATGCTCTTTTGCATAGAAAGCATTTCATCCTTTGAAGGTGCTTAGACACTCATACGGTGTTTTTTGGTCTTATTTGTACAGTTTTAGTGACTACAAAAGCTGTGCAATCCTTTTGTAAATCCCCTCTGTGTGCTTCTTGCCTTAAAACTATGAGTTTGTAGAAAAACTTGATTATTTATCATCGTCACAATTTAGCTTTTCGTGACTGGACAGAAGAAATGATGTTATTGACTTTGCAGAAGCTATAAATAACTCCATCCACACACACACACACACAATCAATGCTGCATTGTAGCATCTTCCAAGTTGAACATCACATGCTGAAACCCACTTTGCATAATGGACCGGTTGTTTTCTCCGTGCACAGCCTTACATGTTTCTCTTCCTTGTTGTCTTTGTAGTTGGATGTTGCGGACCTCAAGCAGCAGTTGGCTCGCAGTCAAACTCTGTTCCCAGAAAACCCTTCAGTGTGGGTCAAAGACCTGGCAGGATACCTCAACCTCAATCTGACTGCTCCAGAGAGCGAGCCCACGCTCAGCAGCTACGCTCACGGTCAGTCAAACTCAGGGTTTAAAGGCGGAGTAAAGATCAAATACACCGCACACTCAATACATCCCTTTAGGACTTCTTTTGACTTGAGTTTATTTGTACAAAACAGTCTGACATGAAATATTTCTGCAGGACAATTCGAAATACTTGTATGAGTCCAACTTATTTTGTTTCTGTCCCCAGACTACCCATACTGCCTTGCAGGAAAAGAGCTGAAGACTGTGATCAAAGCCCTCATCGGACGCTGCAGTGACATTCTGCCAGATTTCTTGGACCACTGTGTTTATACGATGCTCAGGGAGATGGACAGACAGTCAGGTGGGTCAAAGAGAAGTGCTTTGTGCTGTGGATCAAAACATAAGGGATGTGGTTATAACAGTTTAAAATACATACATTTCTCTCCTCTCTGCCGTCACTGCCGACAACAGGACGGTGATGTCATGTATAGTTATTTAGTTCACTCACATAATTGCAACATGACACCACAGCAGATCAAATGTATAATATGTAACAGTAACACGGACCTTGGCTGACATTTAAAGCGCTAAAAGTCACCTTGCTTACTTCTGGAATGTAATTTTGGTACTTATGGAAGAAACAAACATTAAGATGCTGCTGATATGTGTATAAATAATTGACTTTACTATATTTTAAAGTAACCTTGTTGCCTTTATTTCACATCAAACAGCAGTAAGGGAATAAGGATAGGGGAGAGAGAAAAGTGACTTAAAGGGGACCTATCATGCAAAATGCACTTTTTGATGTCTTTTATACATAAAGATGTGTCCCCGGTGTGTCGGGGAACTCACGCAGCGTCAGAAAATAAAACCCTCTCTCTTTTCCTCCGTACCCAAATCTCTAAAAACGGGGGAACAACGGAGCTGATCCAGATTTGCGTCCGATATGACGTAATATCTGAAATGTGGACCCACGGCCCAATCAGAAACGTTGCTATCAGAAACAATGCCCGACTGTTTTGGACGTAATATGGTCGGTGTTTACATTAGCATCGCTAACACTCAGAGCTAACCTGTACTGGAGAGCATGTGTGTGAAGAAGCAGGAAGTAAAAAGGAACTCACCTTGTGGTATAACCGGCAAGAGAGAAAGCCTTTGAGCTCCATACTGTTTCAGAGATAAT